ACATTTACCCCCAGTTTCACAGACAAAGCTTAAGCCTATTCACAGATTGGATTCATGTTTGAGCTGTTTTGACTGAAAGCAGATTGCACTGGCATATTTTAAAATGTCAGTGCCATTATTTTGTCACAATATACAGACCAGTAATGTTTTTTACTGGCGCTGCTAGGCTGTCCTTATTCACATCTCACCAGCGCACATGGATCGGTGTTGGTAGATCGACTGGTAGAGACTATTTTTCAAAGATGGCTTCTTCCTGTATTCGCGAAGTTGATGTGTGTATAAAATATCTTCTTATTAAACTGTATGGACACTGACAAAGTTCTCAATGCTTCGGTTTGAATGTAGGGACCCTTATTATGCTACCGTGTTACAAGCGATTTTTATTTGTCATTACTCTATGCCCTATATACTAGCGTTATAGGCTAAACTGTTTTTAGAGATAAAACTATTTACATTCGGCAATCATGAAAACAAATATCAGATAACGGTTGACTAGGTAACAATGTGTAATTAGACCAAAGGTTCATTTTGCGCCGGAGTTGTAAGCCCTATTCATGGCTTAGTCTTAGCCCTGTCTGTGAAACCAGCCCTGAAATGTATTTTGTTTTGGGCTTAAGTATGAACCTTTTTCTTCTTCTTAAGATTCAGCCAAATACCAAGCCATGCTTTATTTTAAGTAACTGTTAACAGCCACAAAGAACCTCGGCCTATATTAAAACAACATATTACCTGAATATTAATACTAGTAGAGCTACCAGTTCCCAGCCTTACCAAGCACAGTGGGATATATGTCCACAAGTGATACAGGTAGACTGATTTCAAAGCCAGACTTCACTCCTGGGCCCATTATAAGCAGAGGGACATGAGAGCTGCCCTCAAACATGGACATCTTATAGAACTGCCTGTGTTCCATGGCCAGATCCCCATGATCCGAAGTGAAGAGCACGACTGTCCTGTTCAGTAAGCCAGACTCTCTGAGAGCAGCTATCACCTCACCTAAAAACACAGAATGACGTACATCAAATCAAAAGACAAATCAGCACTTAAACGTGCATCTGGCTGCTCACCCAACATGCTGTCTGTTTCAGCACACATTGCATAGTAAAAGGCTCTTATGTCTCTGATCTCTTTTTCCGTGAAGTGGCCACTGCAGTTTTTGGTGAAGGTGGAGTAGAAATCCACAGGGTGCATATCTTCAAACCGCAACCACTTCGGAACAGACACTTGATCGTAAGAAACCTTTGAGAGAAAACACAATCTGTCACAAAAGATATACTTCCTGTGGGACTGACACTGCTATTACTGTACCATGCTGTGGATAAAATGATCATTATAATGAACCAAATTATACAAACGTAATACTGTGTTTTTGTAATAATGTTATTTTATTATGATTTATATACTATTGTAGCATTTATTCATATTGTGATATATTAATATTAATGTTTTAATTTTAGTAATTGTATTTAGACTTCATTTATTTTTATTTAATTTTTAGTTTTAGTAATTATATTTCAGTTAGTTGCCAAAGCAATATATATATATATATATATATATATTAATATATAGTTCAGATGCAAAAGCCTCTAAATGCCATTTGAAATTTTCTTCTTTAATGATGATTTTTATCAAACTTGTATATTTAAGTTCAGTAATTTCACTTAAATAACAATTAATAGGTAATTATCATTGCCATTTAAGTGAAATCACTGAAATTAAATATACAAGTTTGATAAAAATGATCATTCTAGAAGAAAATTTCAAATGGCACTTAGAGGCTTTTGCATCTGAACTCTTCATATATATATGTTAAAACTTTAAGTTCAGGATTTTCATATACTATTTACATTTTATTTTTAAGATTTATTTCAATTACTGAGAACTACCTTATTTTTTAGGTGTACCCAAATGTTATACACGCATAAATGTGTCACTCATTGGATTTTACACTTGAGATTGTTAAACCAGGGCCATTTTTACCTGTGGGTTAATATAATCCTGAGTTATCCTGTGCACAGTTTTCAAACAGTAGTTAACCCGGAGACAGTCATTTATATTGGGTTGACATGTTTTAAAATGTCACACTCTACATTTACGTCCTGGGTTGACATAATTGACTATATTAACACATTTATATTTATATTTTAGTAACTGCTTGTCCATTTGTGGAAATGTCACATAAATCAACTCTGGATTTAAAATTTGAAAAATGTACGGGTTTCTTTCTTCTGTTGAACGCAAAAGAAAATATTTTGAGGAATGTGGGTAACCAAACAGTTGCTGGTACTCACTGACTTCCATAATATGAAAAAAAAAAAAAACTCTATGGAAGTCAATGGGGACCAGAAACTGTTTGGTTACTTACAATCCTTTAAATATCTTATTTTGTGTTCAACAGAAGAAAGAAATCCATCCAGGTTAACAACAACCTGAGAAATGACTGATGATAAATGATGACAGATTTGTGGGTGAACTATCCCTTTAAGTCTTCAGAAACAAAATTCACTGGACTACAAATTTGACTACTACTACAATTTGACTACAAAGTATACCAAATTGCATGCTATTTTTGTCTGTCACTATTGAACAGTTTCCCCCTGAAACTCAATCCAAACACACTGTGTGTGCAGGTTCTGCGATTGTAAAAGTGCATGAATATTCTGAGACAGATTTCTGTTTCTATTTCTGAATTCAAATCCCATGATAAAGTGCAGTCTAAATGTTTTAAACCTCCAATTTGATTGAGATTCTAACATTTACAGATTTGGAGAGAACATACGATCAATATTCTGTGGTATGCATCTTGTGGCTGAGCACCCTCATCGAGCTTTTTGCCTGCTGGATGCTCACACTTCTTGTCAAATTCTTGCTGAAAATTTACACATTGTCCATTTCTCTGTTACATCCGGCAAAGCAAGTCAAGCAACCTGCCTTGTTTAGCCAATACGGGGAGGTGCGGAAGGTTGAACCCCCGGCTGTGGGTCCCAGGGAGTCTGTACGGTACGGGTGGGGAAGATTCAGCCCTAGGTACAGTGCAAATGGCTGGGCGAGAGATTCAGCAGTGTGCCTGATCCACTGGACCGCAGCGTCAGTGATGTTCCAGTCTTTAGTCATCACCCTCTTTGTGGACGTATCACCCACCAGATTTGTGACCGGACGCCCCTCCTGTCTCAGCAGGAATGGAACGTCTCTGGTCCACGCCTCCACACGATTACTGAACAGAGGTGTAAACAGAAATCATTACTAACAACACGTGTAGTAGTAGACAGTGTTGAAATACATTTTGCCTTCAATTTGAACAGTATGTATTGTGTAATGATTTTTAAAGCATGCTAAAAATGTTTTGTATGAAAAGTGTACTTTAGCAATCTTTCAGAATAATAAATACCACTTGATTAGAGATTTTATCAAAAGTACAGTCTTACATTACAGGTTAAAAGTTTGGTGTCAGTAAGATTTTTTTAAAGAAACAATTATGCAAGGATGCATTCAATTGATCAAAAGTGCAGTAAAGACTTTATTATTGTTACAAATGATTTCTAGTTTTAATAAACTTTGCTCTTTGAACTTTCTATTTATCAATTCATCTTTCCAGTCTTCCCACAAATCAAAATCAACTTAGAATGATTTCTGAATGATCACGTGACACTGGAGACTGGAGTAATGATGCTGAACATTCAGCTTTGCAATCACAGGAATAAATTGAATTTTAAAATAGAATTTTAAATTACAATTATATTTCACACAATTACTTTATTTTTTATCAAAAAAAAAAAAATGCAGCCCATTGAATGGATTTTTTTCATAGATATTGTAAAAGCTGACCAACCTCACACTTTTGAAGGATAGTTTAGTGTGCATCTGTCCCATATTTATTTTTGGGGCTACAAAAGTTACCTGACAGAGTGATGTCCTGACGTGTAGTCAAGTTTCCCCATGCTATGAGTGAGATATCCACTCTTTCCTAAGAGGTCCATCCATGAAGTGGCATTAGGATCAAGACATTTATAGTTGTTCCAGGCCTGAGTCAAATGAACAAACTGTCCACTCCACATAGCTGCCAACACAAACCACATTTAGGGGCATAAATAAGTTTAACTTCCCTTGTTTCTGTAATAGAGGTGCACTATCAATAGAGGCTGAGCAATACTCTACCTGCCCTTGAAGGGCAACAGATGGGTGAATTAGTGTACGAGTTAAGAAAAACAGCACCCATTTCCCTCATGTAGTTGATGTAAGGCATCTGTACAACTTTATTGCCTGGATGAAAAGTTAACCTGCCATCCTTGAGAAAACAAAAGTCAAACAACACGCAAAATATGCGTTTACTAACGTTATCCAGCTCTCGAGGAGGTTTTTGAACACAGCCAGTATTTCTATTTCTAAGATAAAAAGACTGGGAAGTTAGTAAATATTCACAGTTGAGAAGTAATTTCATATATTATTATAGTGTAAAATCAACAACTTACGAAGGCATCAGACATGAGTATAACTATATTTGGTCTGTCATGTGATGTCCAGGTCTGATTCATGCAGTGAGCGTTCATATGAACAATGAACACTAATAACAAACGGAACATGAGCATGTTTCTAACGTTACATCCAGTCGCCAGCAGTGTCTCGAAAACGACTTTTAAAGACGACGAAGGTTTGAAAATAGTCTGTTTTTAAGGCCGTTTTACGTCGGTTTTGTTATGTTCCCTGTGTATCTGTAATATGCAAGCTCGTTTTAAAAAGAATTTGCTTCTTTTCCTTTTCCGTAAACAATCACAAACCGCCCCCTACTGGACATACTGGACATCACATTTAATACCGCAGTAGGCAAAATTATATATTATAATTTTTATTACATATTCTATATTTAAATAGAAACATTTCATTTTAAATTGTAATAGTACATAATATTATTTCCGTTTTATATATTTTTTGTAAGAAAAAAATGCAGTCATGGTGAGCATCAGACTTCTTTCAAAAACAACAGAGAAAAAATATACCAAAGAGAACAACAAATACTACAACATGTTCTTTAATTTTCCACAGCACAGCAACAAGTATTTGGGAGGAAATGTGTTACTGCCATGATGTCACAGTAAAAATAACTAGTTCCTAAAATATGAAGAATTAGTCATATGGTCCTACATTTCATGCAATAATTTTTTTTTACCTTTTGATTCTGAGGTAAATTTAAATGTTTTAATACATTCAGTTTTACATAATATGGTTTTCCATTTGTTTACAGAGCCACATTCACATATAAAATTGGGTCATCCATTGTATAAAAGGAACAAATTATCTTGTTTTTACTAAATTAAAATAATACAGAAGAACAATGTTTTTAAAAGGAAGACACTGAGAATTTAATCTAAGGAATTCAAGCATATGAAATGTTACAAGTAAACACACAGAATATATCCAGATAAACATTTATTTCCACAGAAACTACTGCCAGATCCTAGACAGCCCATTTTTCTGTCCTTAGTTCCAATTTTTTGACGAGACCCTCCCCGATGATGCGGAAATCCTGCAGGATGGCCTCTATGTTTGGCATGGTGGTTGCCACATCTCCGTTCACCTCCACACGGCGGGCATTCATTAAAGATGTCTGAGAACAGAAAATCAGGAGTCATGACGTGCCACAAATCTTAATTGTGAGCCAATTGACTTAAATCATGCCAACCATAGTCAGGGTCATAGTAAATAAAAGCTAAAAAAAGAATAATAGAGGAACCTTGAAGGGTTGCGGCTTGAAGGCAGTTGGCTTCCACAGCACTCCGATCACGGTTCCACCAAATGGGTCATAAAAAAACAGAGCCAGATCTCCAAATGCATCCTAAAAGTCCCAAGAGAACTGGTATAAGATGGATCTGACATACCAAGGGTATTAATGTGAAAAGATTCAGTAAAATTAAATTAAAAACTACACAAACCCTGAGTTCAGAGAGATACAGTCGGGCCGGATCATAGTCTATAACTGGCAGAGCTCCTCCTGAGGCGGATGGCTCGCCTCTAAAGGTGCCGTTTTGGAAGGTGATGGCAGGAGGATCCACAGCTTTAGCTAACAGAGGAACCTGCTGTGGAACGAGGTGGATCAGAACATCATAATCCTCCAGAGGAGGTCGAAATGCCACCTAGAAACAAAGAAAGGAAAAAGTGAGGTTAAAGACAAAAAGATGACAGCTGCATACATTTGCAGAATAGAATAAATGAAGAGTTCAGATGCAAAAGCCTCTAAATGCCATTTGAAATTTTCTTCTAAAATGATCATTTTTATCAAGCTTATATATTCAAGTTCAGTAATTTCACTTAAATGACAATTAATAGGTAATCCTCATTGCAATTTAACTGAAATTACTGAACTTAAATACACAAGCTTGATAAAAATGATCATTCTAGAAGAAAATTTCAAATGGCACTTAGAGGCTTTTGCATCTGAACTCTTCAAATATAGAGGAACTGACCCGGATGTCCTGCTTTTGACTGGAGTCAATAAGATGAGTCTCCAAAACACGCAAACTCTCTGCTGCAAGCATGACAGCACGCTGAAGCATCTGTGTGGAGGAGACAGCACCAGTTATATTTACTGTACATAACACATGATCATCTATAGAACACTACTGCTTTTACAAACCTGCACAGAAGGCGTCTTTTTAGTCCACACAGAGAGTTTCTTGTCAGTGGGAGTGGCTATGAACATGGTGGGAAGAGATTCTCTAGAGGCCACAAAGTCATTCTTTATATCTGTGTGGTCAGCAGCTGAAAAATAAAAATACTCATTTCAGTATCCACAAATGTTTTAACACATGAAAAGACAATTAGTCCTGCTACTGGTCAGTGTGTTAGTCTGTGTCGACTAGTTGTGGATGAAATAACTTCAGTTGTGCTTGTTCTACACATGTCAACAGCAGAAGCAAAACTCCTTGGTCCAGGTGCAGCTGCGTGACATTTGTGCAATAATTTATATTAAAGTGGTAAAAACAAAAAAAGTGAATGTTCATCATTTTACACTACCATTGAAAAGGGTCATTTTTTGTGTGTGTGGAAGAAATAAATACTCTTATTCAGCAAGTAAAACTAAAGACATTTATGTTACAAAAGATACCTGTGGAATAAATCCTGTTATTTAGAATTTTCTAGGGATGATTGCATGGCAAAAATCATAAATCACAAATATTATTGGTCAATGTTAAAATCATGATTATTTAACCATTATTTGTGGTCGATAGGATTATTTCACAATACAAGTACGTTTTAATATTTATCGATTACACATTTATCGATACTTCAGAAAAAAAACGAATAACTTGTATAAGAAAAAGGTCCTAAAAATAATTACGTAAAACAAATGGACCAATAAATACAACAGAACGAAAATGTAAATTAAATAGTGGTTTAAGTTCTTTAGGAAAATGTACTAACAGTGGTACCCTAAAACAAATGTGTGTTTCAGTCTCTGGTGTGAAAAGATGGAATCTTCTAGAAAATGATCTAAAATGTTGTTCAAATATCTTACAATTTAAAAATAATTATAAATAAAAAAGATACTTCGTCTATAAAGAGGAATGTGAAAACTAATAGAATTATTACAAGAATTATGTTTTCGTTGTTATTTTGGTTGTTGGATCTGTCATTATTGCATCTTTGTTGTTTTTGTTTGTTTAGTATTATGTAAGCAGAATTAGTATTAATAGATAATAATATTAATAATAGATAATAATATTAATAATAGACAAAGAGAGAAAAATGTGTTATAATTGAAGGTAGATTATATCTGGTTTGGGCTAGTCTGTATATGTATGTGTATATGCATATATATATATATATATATATATATATTTTTTTTTTCCTTAAATTTTTCTGTTGTTTGTCATTTTATGTTGGTGAGGTCATCTAATTTGTGAATCTTGTTTATAGGAATGGGGTAGGAGTTTACTCCTACTCCTGTTCTTTTTTTTGTCATGGAATGTACTTTTGTTGTGTTTGTTGGATTTGTTAAATTGTTCTTGTGGTATTTCGTGTTGCATTACCATGAAAAGAGAATAGAAAATAAATGAAATGAAAAAAATTAAATACTTTATAAAACTACTTAAAGGGACACTCCACTTTTTTTTTGGTAATAGGCTCATTTTACCACTCCCCCAGAGTTAAACAGTTGGGTTTTACCGTTTTCGAATGTATTCAGCAGATTTTTTGATATTTAGTTTCTGGTCTCATTGACTTCCATAGTATATTTTTTTCCTACTAGTTATTCAGTCAAGATCAGTGAGTGACTTTCCTTTCATTTGTAGTTGATTATAACTTGCTGACATACATACTGAAGCAGGCATATTATGACATACTGAAGCAGGGATATTAGGCTGTGGTCACTTTAAGAGCTAATGCATGGATTCAGTATACTGATACACATACGTTTCTTTCTCATCTGTGTACATTTACTTATGAGTCATTTCATTTTTGCAGCTTAATGCCCTTTTTAAAAACACTGTTTAATATCAACATTACATGTAACACGTCCTGTCCTGCAGTTTAGCAACAGTAGACTGCATTTTACAACATTTATTTGGCTCTTTTGGATGTTAAGTTTGGGCTTTTAGGGAAGAACAAACGCAGACTGATGTGAAGGAAAGGAAGCGGCACAATAATCCTTTTACCATGATTATCTTGTTTTCATAACCGTTGGAAACCAAAATTGAAATTGAAAATCAATTCCGATTATCACACAGCCCTGTCCTGAAAAAAAGTATTACGGTTTCCACAAACATATTAAGCAGCACAAATGTTTTCAAACTTGATAATAATAAGAAATGTTTCTTGAGTACCAAATCTGAAACGTTTGAATGGTATTATTAGCAAAAAAAAGAAAAATATTCTAAGTGAGCCATGGAATTATGAGATAGACTGAGTTCAATCACCATGCAGTTAATCAAGTGGCGCCCAAAGTGAGATATGAGTGGGTTTTTTTTTTCACTGTTCAAGACAATAATCAGTTGGATGACTATATGATTAAGAATGAGTAGTCGTGTAATTCCTAAAATAAACCAAAGGTCTAATCCTAGAGATGAAGCTTACCTGTGAGTTTGCCATTGAGGTTGACTATAAGGGGATTGTTTTTCCAGTCAAAAGTGGAAAGCAAATGAAGGAAGCGAAGGAACCCCACCTGAGGAGAGCTGGAAAAAGTTTGTGGCGTCACTGTATATGTATACAATAATATAATTAATAAATAAATGAGCCAGAAGACCATATTACCTTGGTGGAGTGAAGGGTGCAGGATGTAGGAAAAGTGACGCCACCAACAGGTCAGCTGCTTCCTCTTGGATATATTCCAAAAGGAACTGAGATGCCAGCCAACGCTTAGCCAGGCGGCACACGACACCAAAACACCCAAGCTGCTGCTGGAGCCTAACATGTAACATGTCAAGTTATCTATTTATCTAAACAAGCCACTTGTCAAAAGGCCGAATGAAACGAGTGCATCATGCATGTTTATGTATGCGTGTTGTACCCATGCAAGGTGCTGGTTAGGAAAGGTTTATGCTGAGTCTCCAGCTCCAGTGCCTGGGCCTCAGCGTTTTCCCTGTAGATCAGCATTCCCTCAGGGGTCAGGCTTTCCCTCAGGATCTGCGGTTCTCTGTGATATGCCACCTGGATTCGGAAGGCTAGCCCATCCTGAACGGATACAGACATTAAGTGTGATGAAATTATTTGCTCATAACTCCATAGGGACAAATATTATTACTATCATAAATGTGAAAAACAACAGCAACGTGCACAAATTACCTTACACACATCCAGGTAGGCAGGTGTTGCATGACATTTGTAATTGTGTTGCTTGCAAAGCAGTTCTCCCAAGCTGATGTGAAAAGCTGCCTTGATGTGGCGTATTGCCAGGTGCTCACTGGGCCATTTTCCACTTCCCTCCAAATGAACAATGACTAGAGAAACAAATGACAAAAGGCGATGGAAGATATCAGCATGTATATTCATATACCAAAATAGAGTGCTCCAGGAATGAGTCTAAAACATGGAAAACAAGTTCTTTCACTTCTAGTTCCATAGTCTCAAAGTCAATGGGCCTGAAATAAGATCTGTGGTGAACAAGTTATTCTATAAAATGCATCAGTATTATCCCCTTGTGTTTTTTTAAGCTTTTAAGTATCTTGAAAAATGTGGTAGCTAATAACTGGCTAAATAGGACTAGAGAGGTTGGCGATATTTAATGTCTGCATGCCAAAAATTAAAACTGTTTTGGGTTTATACTTACAAACTGATCTGTTTTCAAATTTCAAATAAAAATTAGCAGAAGCATTTTAACGTGATAAATTTCTCACCATTTTCTCACTCATGTCATTCCAGACCTTTTTTTATTGGGTGAAATAAAGCTGAACTACTAAAATACAGTATATCCTAGCTAGCCACTCTATTTCATATAATGAAAGTGAATGAGGGCCAGTCTGGTCAGCATGGGAATTACGGATACTTGATACAGTCTTCAACACAGTACCTTTGATAGGGGTGATGTAACAAGGGCAAGGTTTTTCCTTCCGTGGCACTAAGCCGAGCTGGTTCTTCTTTCTGTCAAAAAAGGAATAGAGCAGCTTCACAGGAACTGGAGGGAAAACCTGCAGAGGACAAATGAGGAAAAGTCTGAAAATTAAAAGATCAACTTGAGTGCATAACACAACTGAATCTAGCGAGGAGGTGTCTGACCTGTGTGTATCTCAAGGCCTGGTGGGCACCCTGCACGGATGTTATAGACAGTGGCAGCCCCTCCAACTGCCAGAGCTTCCTGCTCAGGTCATCATAAGACTGAACCACCTTCAGACTCTCCTCCTCTCCTGTAGTGCCCATCTGGGTGACAAAAAGAAATCAACACAAGCTTGTGCAGATGAAGCAACCCGATTACCAAATTTCACATGTGTAGCACAATCACTTTTATGAAATACCTCTTTGCTAATTTTGATGACATCATCCAGCTGTCCACCCACAAGTCTCACACATGATTCAGGGATATCGGCATGACTAAAATTAGAGAAAATTACAAATAAAACGAGAATGTTATTTATGCAAAAACATGTCAAGGAAAAGCTTATAAAAACACAAAAAAGATTCATGCTAAATATTATGCCAACCATAAAAAGAAACGAAATGTTCCACAGCACCACCTCGACAAATATTCAATTAGATCCTGATTTAGATCTCAATTCAATTTGATTAGACTCCTTGTATTTCAGTAATAATATCCATTTTGCTTATATAAGTGTTATTTTAGTAACTTTTTATTGTAACAATAAACAGATATTACTTCTTATAGATATTACGAACTGCAAACTGTTCAAAGGGCTTTAAACGATTCCAGACCATGAATAAGGGTCTTATCAAGTGAAATGATCGCTCATTTAATAAATAAATAACAAAGTTTAAGTTTTATAAGCTCAAATGGTCGCCTTGCTCTGTTCTGTGACACACGTTTGTGACTCTCCTGTTCGAACTCGTTCATCAAAATGAACAAATCTTTTTCCGAGTCATTTGGATCTTTCAACGAACGAAACGAACGAATTTGATTCGGAAAAAGATTCGTTCATTTTGATGAACGAGTTCAAACAGGAGAGTCACGAACGTGCATCACAGAACAGAGCAATGCGAGCATTTGAGCTTACAAATCTTAAACTTTTTTAAAAATTTTTTATTGAGCGATCGTTTCGCTTGATAAGACCCTTATTCATCGTCTGGAATCGTTTAAAGCCCTTTGAACTGTCGTTTGGACCTTGAACCGTTTGGTTCCCACTAAAGTGCATTATATATGAAGAAAAATGCTGGATTGGTTTCTTTAAAAACCTTAATTTCTTTTCGACTGAAGAAAGAATGACATGGACATCTTGGATGACATGGGGGTGAGTAAATTATCAGCAAAAGTTTTTTGAAAAGTGAACTAATCCTTTAAGTACACTTTTAGAGAGTGTAAGTTGAGTCCTATAAAGGCTAGAATAGAGACGTACAGCTGTAGTAGGTGAGTGATGATCTCCAGCAGAATGAATCTTCTCTGACAGGTGGAGCTCCCTGACCACAGCACTGCCTCAGTGATGGATCCGTCCTGGAAGCGCCGCAACTCTGAGCGAGAGCCCCACAGCTGCCTAAACTCATCTGCCTTCAAACACCAACAACAGAGAGAGTGTTTGGACACTGCTACAGAACCACAAGACACATACACAGACGTCACTGGAAATGTGGGCTAGTTTACCTTGGGGTTATCTGCTGGCGGTCCTCTCTCAAGAACAGAGAGAGCTTGTTCAAGGTTCAGCATCAAACCAATATTCAAAGGCGGCTGGTCCTTATGCTTAGGAGGTGAACTGTCCACCGGCCACTGCAAAAATAATTTACACACATTAAAACAATGTATACAGACCGTTTAGGAACGCTTTTATTGGTAAAATAGCCAATCTGATCGTTAAAAGATGCATGCAGGTGCATGTTTTGACCAATGTTAAAGGTAAATAATCTACCTCAGGGTCTTGAGGGAGTGAGTGTACCAGAAGGTTGATCCTTTCTCCAAGCCCTCGTTGCAAGAGGGACAAAATGAAAGGAAGTGCACTTAGGACATAGTTCCCGCTGTGGTCCATGAGCTCATTGAGGAGTGAAAGCTTCTTACAAGAGGCCTGCAAATTCACCAGCCCACTCAGTCTGAGAAGGAGAGCGAGAAAGAGTTTTCAGAAAAACATGAATACAATAACACATGAATAGCAGGTTTGTGTTTAAGGACACTTACTGAAAGACATTGTCATATGTTCTGATCATGGCTTTGGACGTCATGAGCAGAGCCTGGAAGCTGTCTACAGTCGGATCATCCCAGAACTTCAGCGAGAGTGATGCCTCGTGCTGGATCTGACAGGAAATTTAGAAACATTTGGACCGATTAAAACTTCCAATTCCAATACATGCATCAAATCAATTAAATATATGAGAAAGCCACCATATCAGTGTTATTTTAGTATTATCATTATACTTCTAGAGTATTTATTCATTTCCATTTAATTTTTGTTTTAGTAATTCATTTTTCATTTTAGTTTTAGTCAAATTGTTTATTTTTAGTTTTATTTCAATTAACAGAAATGTTTTATTTTTATTAATTTAGTTAACGATAATACCACTGCCCCAATATATTTTAAAGGCATTACATTATTTTGGCAGACAAGTAAATCTTTGACTAGAATACAGGACAACTGGTTACAGTCTTTATGTACAGTCAGGTCAAGGGGCCCTTTAATACATTTATTTAAAATGTATAATTACACTAAAATAACATGTTAAATTTACTTTAAATGTTAATTCTAGACGCTGTATAGTAAGAGAATATCACATTCTCACTGAGCTAAATTGATACTAGATCAGAGCTCACCTGTTTGTAGGTAAAAGCTGTCATGTCTGCAAGCAGATTGAGATGCCCAGACGGGTCCACAAAGACCACGGAGAATGCTGCCTGGAAGTCCTGCAGTGAGGGCTGAAGCAGGAGAGAAGAGAAAGGCATTGTAATGCAAACAAGGCAAAACAGTTTAAAAAAACAGTGCATGCATGAGTCACTTCTGCTCACCGCTTTTGAGTCTGGGTTTCTAGCCAAGGTGATCCCGCTCTCTGTCAGATCTGTGGAAGCTGAAAATGTGAAAGGATAAAGCAGAAGTATATTTATATAGCGCTTTTCACAATAAAGATTGCATCAAAGCAGCTTCACAGAATCAATCAATGTTCGTTTCTTAGTGGAAAACATCCTCGTTTGGTAGAGCTGATCAAGGGTATTACTGATTGATTGATTAATTTGAATATCCCCAACTGAGCAAGCCAAAGGCAACAGTGGCAACATATTACAAAATATTATTTACTGAACAATAATAGTTAATGAACAATAACAGCCATTATACAAGCATACATTATACACGAATACAAAGTGTGTAGAATAGTCAAGTCAAGTCAAATATATTTAAAAAGCACTTTTTACAATACAGATTGTATCAAATCTGCTTCACAGTATCAATCAAAAGAACTTAACAGCGTTTGTTTATTACTGGAAAAAAAGACATCCAAGTTTGGTGGAGCTGATCAATGGTATGATGGGTCATTTAATTTGAATATCCCCAACTGAGCAAGCCAAAGGCAACAGTGGCAAGGAACCGAAAAACTTTATCAAGTGACCCAGATGATTAAACTGATGAATACACTCCCATAACCACCATAATAACAAGCTATAAAAATCAGTTATACTATGACCTTGCTTACCCAAGAAGTGCAGTGCATTCCTGAACAGCTGGTACGCATTCATGGTTTTGCCCACTTTGTGTGTGGATAGAAGATAAGCCATTAACATTGATGCGTGGAAGCCGCAAAAACAACCTGCACCCTAAAGAAATGACAGAAACAGAATTTATTAAACAGAATTTGTGACGGCACAAAAAAAGACATTGTATCTTAAAAAAAATCTCTAAGAACAAGTTGTTTAACTATAGTGTGGGGGAAAAAACAGATAGACTGAACAAAATAGACAAAATATGTATGTACAAGTATGCTAAAGATACAATTATGCAAGAAGAAAGAGATAGTGCATGAATAAATGCATGTATAAACAGTGAAGAGTAATGTACATGTAGCAATTATGAACAACATTTTTTTTTTTAAATAAAAGGTCATACTACAAAATAAATGAATCCAACAGGTTGTCACAATTTCTATTCAAGTCACTACTGTTATTTCAATGTGAGTAATACATAAAACGCACACGCAGAAATACTGTGGTCTTACCTGGTCCAGTTCTCTCTGTCTCATCCACACTTTGAGGAGGGCGACACCATCTCCAAAAGCAGGACACTGTGCGCTGATGGCTGATAGGAACTGAAGATGTGACAGTGGGAGATGATCTCCAAGAACTGTGCTGTTATAATGAGGAGTAGCGGGCCCACTGCTCTCTGCATGATAAAAAATGACAGAAAAATATTATGACGACATGTCGGTACGTATGTGTTCTGCCTTGTGTGATCTCAGAAAGTTCCTCAGTACCTTGCTGCTTATTGGCAACACCTGTAAACCACTCAGTCTTGATGTTGTTTTTCCGAGGATGAAAGCGGCTAGGTTTAAGGAAGTCCGGAGGAGGAATGGCATGAATCCGCAACGTGACCTTACTGCTGTCTTTACCTACAGGTCAAACACAAAGGTTACATGATCATTTTAGTTTGAAGCAATGATGAAAACCCTTATTAATGCATGCTCCTGAACAAGATCAACTAGTCTAAGTGTTTTAAGTGTTATCAGTGTACTCCAAGCACCAAAAAAAGCATCTGCTAAACAGTAATTAACTTGGAAGCCAAAATGATGTGAGCAGATATTAACAGTAGACATGGTGCGTGCACGTCCATGTAAATTGCTTTGGCATGAAAGCATTTGCAAGTAAGTGTAGTGCAAACTTTGAAGAAGCTAATAAGTGTTCACAAGCTAGTGTTAATACAATTGTACCTGTGGGTTTGAGAAGTAGGACTGGGCGAAGCCGGTTGCCATGGAGACATGAGTAGCACAGTGAACCCACCGACTCTGAGAAGCAGAGGTGCTGCGCTAGGCCAGCCAGATACAGCGCTCGCTTTCGTGGGTACCGCTGGTTAATGGCATCCATCGGGTGCAAAATAGACTTCAAAGAGAAGATAGTAACAGATTGAATCACTTGCACAATACTTTAGACAAACAGACACGCATACACAGACAAAACATATGACAGATAGATGGATACACACACATATTTTTATTAGGGCCCCAAAATATAAAGTCATCATTATTGTATAAAATGAGAAAAGTATGAAAAAAAATCACTTAAGAAAGAAATATTTTATTTGATTCAACATTCAAATGTTTCAGCTACAACAGCCATGATTTTTGTTTTCAGATGCTGCATCTACAGACTAAAACAGTTTGTTTGGCAACATTTTTCAAAAGATCTTATTTTATGTTTCGCAAAAGTCAGTCCTACAGGTTTGAAATGACATGAGGGTAAATAAGAATAATTGTCATTTTATGAAATAAATATATATATATATTTTTTTAAATAAGTGATACTCTAAATAAAGTAAAAATGCCAGTAGGTTGTGTCTAGATAAATAAGTCATTGAGTCATTCATTCGATCCGTTTAAACAGCTGAAACATTCAGGGATGAAGTAAAGGGCTCTCTTTATAAATGGGCCATTTAACCATCGGTTCACTTGATTGATTACACGGATACATTCAGAAACGAAACACCGCTGTGTGTTGCTTGGAGCGCACAACAGTTCTACTGTGGCTTTACAGTTAATATTTTTGTTGGCAAAATTGAGAAAATAACAAAACAGACAATGTTGTATTGTAATATTGTACCTGATATATACTATTGTTGTATAAAATCAATATCACATTTACACAAAAACAGATTTCTGTTAAAACAAATATTCTAACTGTATTCTATAGGCAACATCACGAAGTGAGTTTCCTGCTTCATGTTCATCACCAATCAACTGTATGAAATGTATGATGACTGTAAGTCAGGGCGGGTGCGTTAATTAATTGTATTTGCATTATACTTCCATAACTAATTAAATCCACACATTAAACCGACAGTAAAATATATATTCATAAACAGCAGTCAACAAGTGGGTCAAAACCTTTCATCGAAGTCATACATGAATTTTGAATACCCGTTCTCGTCTTAGGACAACTTTGATTAACTTTATGATCCACTTCAAATGTGTGTGTATATATATATATGAAGAGTTCAGATGCAAAAGCCTCTAAATGCCATTTGAAATTTTCTCCTTTAATGATGATTTTTATCAAACTTGTATATTTAAGTTCAGTAATTTCACTTAAATAACAATTAATAGGTAATTATCATTGCCATTTAAGTGAAATCACTGAACATAAATATACAAGCTTGATAAAAATGATCATTCTAGAAGAAAATTTCAAATGGCACTTAGAGGCTTTTGCATCTGAACTCTTCATATATATATACAGACAGATGCTAGAACTATGGTTAGATAGATGCAAGATGGATCGATGTATAGATGGACAAAGAGACACATGTGTTGCATAAATAGCACCATTGTTTTGGAGTTTATAACTTACAGCTGGAATAGTGACAGCCAAGTCCACAATGACTCTGGGTTTGATACAGGTCCCCAGTGGATAACTGCCTACCACATCAATTGATGCAGGAGGCTCCATGTGAAATTTGCCTTTTGATTCCAGCGAGGCGAAGAGGAATGGGACTTCCACACCTGGCAACCATGAAAGATCATCCAACTAGAGAGAAAGAAAATGCTAATAAGAAAATTATGCTGACAGCTACCATAGAGATCAGTAAAAAAAAAAAAAGTGTTAAAGCTACGCTGCTGATGACAATGTAAATGCTTCACAAATGTCTAACCTCCACAACTTCAGAATCAGGCACAGACTGCAGGGAATCTGTAACCTCCTGCACAAAAGATTCCACCAGCTTCTTCCTGTGCTCACTAAGGGCCACTTCTTTCAGCAGTTCTTCCATCTGAACATCAACCATATAAATCAGTGATAAATAAAGCTGAATATATTGTAATAATGCACATAGTCTCATACATTGATAAATGATTCACAGTTCACAGCCATGCCATGCAGTGAGCAACTCATTGAGCATACTATAGCTAACAATAAAACATTTATGCAGCTATGGTAACATAAAATGACAGTAAAACATTAATGTAATTTCTGACCTGCATTTTCAATATGCTACAGTGGAAGAGATTTTCTGCTTCTTTCAGCTGATTGAGCTCTTCCACTGTGGGGGCTTTGAATAGCTCCTTTTTGGACAGTTTGAGAGGCCGTAATACCCCACCATCCGAGACTGTGTCATTTGCCTTTCGCTTGGGATCCTTAGATTGTTTTGCACTCTTGTTCTCCATTCCTTCTTCAATATTAATGTTATCTGGTTCTTCCATCTGTTGAAGAGATGTTACGGTTGTTATTACTCTTCAATAATGTTTATACACTTTCTGTATATGCATTTACTAAACAAAACAAAAAACTAAGAGTAAAGGTATAAGTATTTTGTAAAACAATAAGCAAAAGTGGTGTATTTTGATAATACAGCATTTCTAAGTAATATAATAAAAACAGATGCGTGACACCAAACCTCGTGAAACTTTTCTTCAATTAATGACGATTTCTTCCTCTTTTTCTTAATTTGCACAGGATTTACAATAAGCTTTTAGAAGAGTAAACACACAAAAATTCATTAATTTACAGTTTCTTCTGATTCAACGAGTCGCTCACATGGGTAACACATGGGACATACTAATGTAGTACAATACACCAGTTCAGTGATTGGTTCGTGTGAAGTCAATCCTTCAACGGATTGGCTGCTGAGCATTTGTTCCGCCTCCAAACATGGTCAAGGTAGGTAGAGTTTACATTTGACACCTCTCTGGGAATAATGTATTAGAATCTTTTCTGATATCATATGTTATAAATATTAAACAAATACAACGCACGGGAAATATATATATTTTTAATTTTAGATAAATAGATACAATGTTTGTCGCGGTAAAATGACGTAGGGTTAAGCATCGCAACACGCATGCGCACTTTACTGCTTGCTGAATGGAAACAAACCAAGTTCTGCCCGTTCTGCCGTACGTACATTTCTTACAATAACGTTCTAGAAATACACAGAATTCCGTTGAAAATAAGTGTTATAATATGATAATTTAGTTATGTCTACATCAGCAAGTTAATAGGCAACATAACTGGAAACATTTACTACTGCTTATGTTTCGTTAACATTGATTTATCTCTGTCAAATTATTTAAGAAAATGTCCAGTAAAGAAGTGAAAGCTGAGCTGAAAAGTGCAAGAGAAGCCATTAAAAATAAAGAGTTTAAAGAAGCTTTGAAACATTGTAAGGTAAGTGTTTCCTTCCACTTGTCAGCATACACTAAATAACTTCCATCTCATACTTTTTCTCTTGATTGACTGTATTTGAATGGGTAGACAAGGTAAACATTTCACTCTCAAGTTAAACCATATTTCTGTACTCCAGGCTGTTCTCAAGCTTGAGAAGAATAACTACAATGCCTGGGTGTTCATTGGAGTGGCAGCCACAGAGCTGCAGCAGCTGGATCAGGCACAGATCGCCTACAGAAAGGCTACTGAACTGGAGCCAGAGCAACTGCTGGCATGGCAGGTAGGTTGTAGTTTATGAACTTTAATGAATGGTCCATGAAATATAGTGTTTGTTTAAGGACACAGTTTGTTAGCCATTTGGCAAGTTGTGGCCTAATGGTTAGAGAGTCAGACTGGTAAACCGGTTGCAGGTTCGATTCTCAATACCGACAGGAAATGACTGAGTCATTGCTGTATGTGTGCACAAACCTGGATGGGTTAAATGCACTTGGACTAATTCTGGGTATGGGTTACCAGTTACCACCATACTTGGCCTTCACATGTTACTTTCACTTGTTAATGTGGTCTTTAATGATATTGTGCACTGCTGATCGAACAATGAAGGTTTACGAGATGTGGATTTCTTTTACAGGGTTTAGCAAATTTGTACGAAAAAGGTGACCAGGCAGATTTCAAAGCCGAGCTGCCCAAGATTTACCAGAAACTTATTACACTGTATGAAATGTAAGTAAAGTGGTGTTCTTTTCTGCTAGATTGATTTTAAACGGAAAAAAATCTAATTTAAAATAAAAGGATAGGCTATAATAGATTTAAAAAATTAGATTTTACTCCTGCATTCTTTTTATTTTCCTTTTTGCATGATCAAAATTTACCAGAGTTTCTTTGGTTTTGGAATTGTCTCCTATACACCTTTTTTTTTTTAAATTTGGCTTTATAAAAAATGTAAAAAAAAAAAAAAAAAAAAAAAAAATGAAAATCTGTGAAATTCTTTGAACTTGCATTCTATAATCATGCCAGTCATTTTATTGAACACATAAGCTGAATTGTCTACAAAACTTTTATTGGTTATTAGCACATAAATGAGAAGTGACAGGAGCACATCTCTTCCGGGGCAGCAGAATAAAAGTTGAAGACTGCTTCAGAACAAGTGATGAATCCTTTAACCTGAATAAAATAGAGCTTTGTAATAAAAAAAGAAATCATATGGTCGAAAGAGCCTCATTTAAAAATGAGTACGATGCTGCATGGTGCAGTTTCTTGATCTATGTACAATTTTCTTGATCCATGTATGTTTTTCTGCATTTGCAGCTCAGACAAAGCAAAATGTTTCGAAGTGAGCAAGAAGTTGGTGGAAATCTCTCAGTTGGAGAAGAACTATTTACAGGTATGATCTAGAACAAGCAGAACTTTTATATTGTAATGTTGTTGTGTATATATAGATATGATATATGTAATATATATAGAACTTTTATATTGTAATATTACAACAGAAGATTTCAGAGGTTAGAACTGCACTGGTCTGTTACCTTCACAAATCTACACATTATTTCTAAAATCAACATCAGGTTTGATTCGCCATATGTTTTAAACTCTACCCACAGGTGGCCCGAGTGTGGCGGAGGTTAATCCAGATGAAGGAGGGAGAGGAAGGGGTGGAGGATTCAGAGCTGCTGGAGCTGTGGAAGGAGATGACCAGACTCCTGCAAGACACTATTGAGGATCAGGACAATGAGACTCAGCAGCACGTCAGTCTGATTTACATGGATTAGTTATGAAATCCTTTTTTTTTTTTTTTTTTTTTTTGAGAATTTTGAAGTGCTCTTTTTTTCATGTACGTTTCATGTAAGCTTACAGTGTGTTTTCCTTTTCTCAACAGCTGATATCAGCATTTGAAAGAGCTTTGGAAATGACAGTAGATGTGCCCAGTGAAGCCCACAGCAGTCTCTCACAGGATTACATTAAATGTCTTTCTAAGGTTGGCAAGTGCTATATGCCACAATTATAATAATATAGCTACACAATAATAATTATGACTGATCCAAAGCAAGAGTTTCATATTCTGTATCCGTTTCAGCTTTCTCATGAGGTGGCCAAGCTAAAAGAGTTTTGTGATGCCACACTGTCCTGCTATCCAACACAATCCTACCCTCTAGAGGCCCTCAGTGAGCACTACATCTTAACAGGTAAGTGTGGAGTCCTCGAAGACAAATGAAATAAGTGAGAAACAAAACAACAACAAATATATAGTAGTGCTGTCAAAATTAACGCCTTCTCGCATGCAATGGATTTTTTTCAGCTTAATGCACTAAAAATATTTAATGCTGTTAACGCAGCATCCGTTTTTCCCCATCATCCTTTGGCTAGCATTACGGTAAATTATCACACTCTTATTCATACAAATCCTTTTAAACCATTCGAGTGTGATAAGACACAAAAAAAGAACGCAGTGCGGTAAGGGCTCACATCTGTGGATCTCCTATCCTGTGACACACACACAACTAATGCTCACAGAAAGCTGTTTCAGATAGTGTTTGAACGGACAAAATTATGCCAAAGTGCCCGTTTTGGCGAGCATCCTCGTACACACAGTCTTAAATGAGTTCTATTAAGTCTTAAATGAGTGTAAAGACTTGTGGGATGTGTATCAGATTCATGTCACATGCTTTAGGTTTTAAAGTGACAGCAGCCTATTAAACCTGCTGCTGTCTTTTATTAAGGTTGGATAAATATCAAAAGAAAAAGTGAAAATCACTCACTTCTCTTGACTTAAATTGTGTAGCTTTATTTAAGCATACTTTAAGTATGTATTATTTAAATATCTATATTTAAGTATTAATCTATATTTAATAAGTAAAAACTGTGAACTGTTTTATATCTTTATAACATTTCTGTATATATCCTACCTTTTAGACCTACATGTGTACAAGCTTACATGGGTCAAAAACAACTAAACAATAACTTTTTATGCAGTTTTTGACAGGGATAATAGAAAAAAATGTAGCCCTAATATATTGAAGGCATTTATTGTTACAGGTTTATGTGAAGTTTACTTAAATTAAAAGTTTCTGTTTTTAAAGACCTAATAAATGTTCAAATGTATAGCTTTTAATTCTATTGGAATGCTTAATGGCTATAAGTAATGGCTGAAATGAGAAACAAAAAATCAATCATCATCAGACATCAGTAGCAGTATTGGTGTATCTGTGATACTGGCTTTCTCAACAAAAGATGTCATTAAAAAATATTTAAAATGTAGGCTACTGTCTTTGTTTCTGCATTAATTTGGATTTTAAATGTGAATTTTTTTGTATTATAAAAATATATTAACTGTAATGTTAGGTGCAAATAATTACAGAAAAATGTGCAATTAATTGGTAAAAAAGAAATGAGTCGATTGACAGCACTTATTTTATTCTATAGCATAAAATACAAGAGTAATATGATTATTTTAATGTTTTTACTTGTCTTGAAAACTCACTAGTCCGCTTTCACAGCCTCTCTGTGTTTATACTTGCACTCTTGCAAACTATTTTAACTCAATCTTTCAGGGAAAATATTTTTTAAATATAGACTGAAAGAGTTGTTGGAAGCTTATTGATGGTGGCATTGAAGTGTGACCATGAGGCAGTGTGTTTATAGCCTACATTTAGCTTTTGGCGAATGTATTGGCATTAAAATTCACAAAGTTGTGTTCATTTGTCAAGACTGGTGATTAACAAAATGTGTTCATAATAAGAATCAAACACAAAGCTTATTTCTGCAATAATTCAAAATCCAATGGAAAAATCCTATTGGGGTTTTTTTTGTTGAAGGAATTTGACTGACAAAATACATCATCATTGCAGCGCTCTATGACTCCTCTATGATTCCTTCACAGGAATAAATGACATTTTAATATATTTTCAATGATATATCACAGCTTTACCTTTTTTTTTTTACTGTATTTTAAAAGGTAAGCATTAGAGACTTATTTCAAAATTTTAAAAAACTACCCCAAACTTTTAAACACTACAATAAGTACAAAAATAAACCTGTCTCTGTTTGGAATAAGCATATACCTCATGTCTGATATTTCAATAATAACACTGCTCTCAGATAAATGTTCTTGTCTCCGATGATCCTGGTAGGTGACTTCAGTGAGGAAGCTGTCCGTTGTTTCCAACGTCTCTCAGAACTGGATCCTAACAGCTCACATGCTCACTTTGGTCTTGGTATTAAAGCTTGTCAGGATAAGAAATATGAGGACGCCCTCAAAAGTATCGGTCTGGGTGAGTTATATACAAAAATATGCAGAATTCACTGCTGTTTAGTTTTTCAATTTGGAGCCAAGCTTATGAAAGTCAAACTTGAAAAGAATGTTTCATTCAGACCGGAGGTCATGTATATTATAATGTAAGAAATCCTTACCCCTAGTATATTACAATAACTTCTTGATTTATGTTCATGTTCAGCTATGCAACATTCATTAACTTCCTCACTTTCTAAACTATATAATGTAAATAACAAAGAGGATGTTTAAATCTTTTGTTGTGTTTTTCCTGCAGGACTGAAGCGTATGCGTTCTTCCTGCATTGGATGGTATAATCTTGCTCTGGCTCAACTAAAAATGCATAAATACTCTGACAGTGCCACATCTTCCAGCCAAGGTACTGTATCATTAAAAACAACTGCACAAATGACACACAGCTAACAGGACAACTACTCATCAACTGCACTAACAGAGTGAAAAGGGCTGTTCTCTCTTGTGTGTTCAGGGCTGAAGTCGAGTGTGGGGAATTCTGATGATTGGACTCAGAAGCTGCAGAGGTTGAGATTAGATGCTCTGGTGAGGACAGGAAGAGACCAGGATGCTGATGAAGCTCTGCAGATACTTACACAGGTAAAGTTTTAAATCTAAGACTGGCACAGTGCTGCAGTCTTACAACAGAAACAAACACTACCGTTCAAAGGTTTGGGGTTGGAATGATTTTAAAAGAAGTCTCTTATACTCTCCAAAGGCTATTTATTTGATCAGAATCAGAATCTTTATTTGTCATTATACAAAAGATTACAACGAAATTATATGCAATCCTATTCAGCGCAAAAATCAATCTCACACTTTATAAACAATAATCCTGTGTGCCAAAAAACACCATTTCTTCAATGTAATAAATTGTATAAAAATAAGTGAGAATGATAAACAGTAAACTGAAAAATACAGTAAAACCTGTAATAATGTAAATGTTATTAGAATTTACAATAGCTGGTTTCTGTTTTAATATATTTTAAAATATGCTATTTTTCTATTATTAGCAATGTTTTCTGGATTCTTTGATGAATAAAAAGTTCATTAGAACGTCAGTTATTTGTAATAGAAATATTTTGTAACATCATAAACATCAGCTGAAGAAAAATAATAATTTCATACTTACCCCAAACTTTAGACGTTTTTATTTTAATGTATTTTAACATTATCATTTGATCGATATCATATCGTTGATGTCTCCTTTTAGATTTCAGATGCCAAAAATGACCCAGTGCTTTTAGCATTGAAAGGAAGAGCTCACTTGCAAAAAGGTCAAACTGATGAAGCATTTCAGGTCAATTGTTTTCTTTCGACAGGAACATAATTTCTGAATTTTAAGCTGAAGCTTGTATCTTAATATTCATCATGCTAAGTAGACCAAATCATGTTTGAATGAAATGATTCTTACAGTTTTTTGCTGAGCTGCTAAACTCTCACCCAGGATCTGTTGAGGGTCTCACTCTGAAGGGGCTGACGCATGTTGCTAAAGAACAGCTCAAACAAGCTGAGGAGAGGTGTGAAACCCTCCTACACAATATCACAAACCAACATAGCTGTAAACACCAAACACTGATCCTCTTGTCTTCTTTCTCTCTCTCACAGCTTTCTGGAGGCTTTATCCAGAAGCTCAGATAATGGGGAGTTATATTTCTTGCTGGGTCGTCTCTACTGGAACATGGGAGAGGAAATGCAAAGGGACCGAAGCAAAGCCCACACACATTTGCTCAAGGTGAGGCCACCAACATCAGAACTTACACTCTTTATATTTTTTATGTATATACCACTCTTTTGCCTTGGGGTAAAATAACTATTAATTTGTTTTCTGTTGTTTTAAGGCTGCTAAACTGGAGCCGTATCTTGGTTCAGTGTTTCGTTTCCTGGGTCATTACTACAGGGAGGTGGCAAAGGATCAGGGGAGAGCCAGAGGCTGCTATAAGAGAGCATTTGAGCTGGATTCCTCTGATGCAGAGGCTGGAGCGGCTACTGTAGATCTCAGTATGGAGCAGGGAGACATGGTGAGTGCGGACAAGTCTAGTTAATTTGTTTAGGGGGTATCCTCTATTTACTTTTACTTGACGAAATCTAATTTCAAAAAGACGCAAGGAACTTTTCACTCTGTACACGGTGTAGAAGACTTTATTAACTTTGATGTGCTCTATCTGTTTAGGACTCAGCTCTGACTGTTCTGCAGTCTGTGACGGAGAGAGCCACTCCTGGCTCTGCTAAATGGGCCTGGATGAGGAGAGGTCTCTACCACCTCAAGATTGGCCAGCACCAACAGGCCATTGCAGAGTAAGTGAATCATTTTCAGTTATAAGGCACAAGTGGTAATAAGAGTTGTTTAACTGGCCCTGGATGGTGTGATTAGCAGATATTTTTAAAGATATTATTTCATTTATCAACATTAAAGTTGGCAGTTATGTAAGGGTTAACTTCGGCGGAGGCAACCGTCCTCCGCTGCGCGTCGGCCGGTTCACGCCTCGCCGTCGTCCATTAAAACCTGACAATGGACACCTCGGAGGGCATTAACCCGCTTATACCATGGTCACTTACCAAATAAAACATTTTTAAAACATTAGTTTATATTTTAATTAGGCTAAATCTAGTTTTTACAAATAATAACTTGCCTGATGGTTTATTTAGCAACCGGAGATATTTATAGTCCGCTCAGCTTGTAGAACCCTTCAGGTTCAAAAATGCATTTTTTTTTTCATGAAACACAAAGGTAGGCATAGTTATTTTTTTTATTACAGATAAAACAATTAATAAAAAAAAACCAAAAAAACAATTAGTTCTGAGCACCAGCGATTTGCGCTTATAGAGGGCAATAAATTAATCAGAGCAAAGAGAGGGTCATTTGCCTATATGCTAGCTTTTTTATTTACAATTAATTTCAACGTTCCCATTTATAGTGCAATTTGAAAAAGTCGGCCAGTCAGGAGGATCCACAAAAGCTGGGTAACGTTACTGCTGCCCATGATGGGCACTTGACGCGGACAGTAACGTTACGTTGCTCCAGCTTCGTCTCTCACGGAGAGAAGGAGCCCAGTATAAGCCCGCAGACTGCTCTCGCATCGATGGCCTGTCACCGACATTATTTGACGGCTCTCCAGTCCAGCATCGGAGAGTCGACCTACAGCATACCAGTAGTCAAAGTTGCCATATTCTCCTTAAATGTTAAAAGAAATAACGAAGTCGCTCATTGTTGTATTAATTAGGCTATAGTATCTAACGTTAGATGTTTGTTTTGATAGAGCGTTTGACTGCCTGTTGCTATGGTTACTCACAGCTGTTGTAGGCAGCGCATTTATTTATACATTTCGAATGGTAAACAGGCAGTTTCACCAGAACTACTTAACTGGGTGTCCTCTATCACTTTTTAACGGACACCCTGCAGCCAATCAGAATCGAGTATTCACCCAGACCATGGTATAAAATGATGCAAGACATGAACATGGCTTTTTCCAAAATGTTATTTATTAAATGACTTTTTATTTCCAATTCAATTCAGGATGCGAACAGGATTCACATGTGTAATTCAAATTTCAGGAAGTAGAAATGGAACTCATATATTTGCAGTACATTTTATTTATTGTTTTCAGTTATAATTATTCAAATGCCACCATTGAAAATTGTATTTTACTTATATTAGTCTAATTATACAAAACATTTGCCTTCTATTAGCCTTCATTTTATATACCATATCGGCAGAAGAGCTCATTTGCTAGAATCCCACAATTAACTTAGCCCCAAGTTTTCAAGGTCCACTTCCCCGTGTTCAGAGATGACTTTATCAAATGATGATTTGTTCTCACCAAAATCAAGCCAAATGGCTTTTCATCAGACAAAAATGTTAAGATAAATGGCTGCCCTATAAGCAATGATTATTGATTTGATTTGATTTGAAAGTGACCCATTATTCTACTGTGGTCTCAGTCTGCAGGCGGCGTTGAGGGCTGATCCTCAGGACTGGGTGTGCTGGGAATGTTTAGGTGACGCTTACCTGAACCGCAGGAGTTTCACAGCTGCTCTGAAAGCCTTCGATAAAGCACATCATCTTCAGCCCACCTCTATCTATAGCCTCTATCAGACGGCCGCCATTAAACAGAACCTGGGCCGGTTTAAAGAGGCTGCGTCCGAGTACAGGCAGATCTTAGAGCAGGAGGGGACTATGTGCCGGCACTGAAAGGTTTGTGTGATTTCTGCATTAATGTTTTAATCTCTCAGGTTATATCTATTTCATCCAGCAATCAAATCTGGAGTGGCATCTTCACTGTGTTTTAATTCTCAGGTCTGGGTGAATGCTTGTTAGCCTTGGCTAAAAGTGCTCTGGATGACTATCTTGATGGAAGAGCTGTAGATCTGATACAGAATGCCATCCATTACCTCTTCAGGTAAAGTGTATCATGAACACAGGGTTCTGCTGAGTAAAGAGAATTATTGTGTGTCATTCTTGAAAGTGGTGTCTACTATGTCAGGTGAGTTTGTTTGGGTGTTATTGAGTGGATGTTGATGTAATCCTCTGTTTCAATGTTCTCAGTGCTGTAAAGCAAAGGCCAGACCTGTCATGTCTGTGGAAGATACTAGGTGATGTCTGCACAACCTGCAAAACTGTGTCCACTAACCGAGCCAAAGTGCTGGTACCTGGAGCTCTATGTGGGATGGATCCAGCCGATCAAGGCCATACACTGGACCAGAGACAGCTCCTCACCCTCGAGAAAGGTAAGAAAGACACACAATCACACAATACATCACACTTGCTATTTTAGAGTCTGTCATACGTGTCTTTAGGGGCTCATCTGTAGCAAATAAGTGTTCAACAACATCCTGGTATGTATTCATTTACTTACTGAACAACGTTTTTATTATTCATGCAATATACAATAGAGTAATACATACACTAGCATTTTAAAGACATTAATTGGATTAAATTAGTTGGAATTTTACATTAAATACATTTATAATGTTACAAAGAGTTTCAATTTCAAATATATACTGTTGTTTTGAACTTTCTAGTATCCTGATTTTTTTTATCACAAGAATAAAGTAATTTTAAAATATATTTATTATTACATTTATTATAAAAT